GTTGAGACTGGGCCTGGTGGCTCAGGCCTGTAATCCCAGCAGTTGAGAGGCTGAAAACAGGAGGATCACTATAAGTTGGATCTACGTAGTGAGACCCTTAACACCCTGTACTAAAATACAAAAGATAAATAAATAAAAATAAATTTAGGCATCAGGAGTTTGATTTTAGGATTTCTGACACTGTAATGGCTTCATTGAGAAGGACCTTTACGACCTAATGTGATACTCAGCCCAAAAAGTGTCTACTTCGCTTGATTTTTTTTAAACAAGTAACTGTAGCCTCTGTATTTTCACTCCTCTACATAGTTGATATTTGGCTTCTAGTTTCCTCTGTTTATAACTGTGTTTCTCTAAACCTCCTTGCATATAATTTCTAGTTCACAGGTGTGAGATGGTCTTGAGTAAAGGAACTGCAAGTGGGCATCTTGTGACATTGCAGCTGTCCTGAGGATGGTGGGAGAGCTGGGTTTAGGGCATAAGGTGCCTTTCTGCTGCTTCAGCACTTTTTCCTCCTTTTATTTTGATGACGTCACAGAAGATAAGGGCTCCCTTCTGTTCGTTTTCCCCTGGATACCCTGTATAGAAACGTTCATGGTGGAAGAAGTAGGCCGGGGAAGGGGGGCTCCCCTGTGGGAGCGCCTGGAGCCAGGTGGTCCTGTAGTTCATGCCCCAGACTTGTGGCTTCTGAGGCAAACAGCATCCTGAACCAGGCAGCTACACCACTGCCTCCAGCTCCATCTGGTTCACAGACGTTTCTTGATCCTTCCTGGTTGGTGAGATGAGTGAGGTGCTCCGGTTATTAGGCAGGTACGTTGGCCTCTCCGTAAGGAGTGCCAGCCTTTCAGGCCTCCCCAGGGATTCGACGCAGGCCTTCGGCTTCCAGAACCATCTCCACATCAGTACCTCCTGGGATTGCGGCTCCAGTCTTGACTCCTACCTACAACCCCAACACTGGGCTGCCCAGGCCCACAGGTGCCTCTAGTTCCACAGATTCCCATCGTGAGAAACTAAATGTCTGTCTGGCTCTGAGACAGTCACCACAGCCATCATGTATCATGGTGGAACGAAGAGCGGGACTGACAAGGCCTAGATGCAGTAAACACTTCCATTTTCAGTGGGGCGGGCGCTTTCCTATCCTCATGCTGTTCTCCACAGACCTATCACTAGAACTGATGAAACCACCAGAGCAGAATGCTTGCATGAAATGAGAAATTGTTACCAAGGGGAAAAAAAAAAAAAACAAAAAAACTAAACCAGTGCTCTAGGTTTACTTGCTCTTAGTCAATTTAAAAATCGCTAATTTTGAGCCAGGAAGGGTGGTACACACCTTTAATCCCAGCACTTGGGAGGCTCAGGCAGGAGGATGGCTGTGAATCTGAGGCCAGCCTGGGCCACAAAGTGGGATTAATCACGCA